CTTGCGTTTGAAGAAAACTATTGCTTTCATATTGACTGTGCATAAATGGTGCAACACACTGTGGATAAATTGTGTCAAGATATTTCGGAGCTCTAGGTAAGTGGATGAAAATAATATTTAATTTACTAACCAACTTCTCACAGCAAGTCACTCTTTGCCTCTTTACTAATTGTTGACTAACAGTATAATTATATGTTTGTTAATTTTTGTAAACTGGCTTTTGCTTTGCTTCACGAACACTGGCTGTAAACTCTTGCGGAAATTTCTGGTTGCTCATCGACTTCTTTTGCTTATTTGCAGTTCTACGGTCTGTTAATTTTTGTAAACTGGCTTTTGCTTTGCTTCGCGAACACTGGCTGTAATCTCTTGTGGAAACTTCTGGTTGCTCATCCACTTCTTTTGCATATTTGCAGTTCTACGGTCTGTGTTAATTTTTGTAAACTGGCTTTTGCTTTGCTTCGCAAATACTGGCTGTAATCTCTTGCGGAAACTTCTGGTTGCTCATCCACTTCTTTTGCATATTTGTAGTTCTACGGTCTGTGTTAATTTTTGTAAACTGGCTTTTGCTTTGCTTCGCAAATACTGGCTGTAATCTCCTGCGGAAACTTCTGGTTGCTCATCCACTTCTTTTGCATATTTGTAGTTCTACGGTCTGTGTTAATTTTCGTAAACTGGCTTTTGCTTTGCTTTGCGAACACTGGCTGTAAACTCTTGCGGAAACTTCTGGTTGTTCATCCACTTCCCTTGCATATTTGTTACCAAAAAATTTGCAATGATAAGGAATTGATTTCATCCAACAAAATGAAACTGGACAAATTTGTTTGTGCTCTTTGTACCTTGAGGATACATATTTTGTAGTGCTTTAAGTACTGTTAAGAAAACTATTCTGGGTGAAAAAAGTATTGCACATATCAATTTCATACTGATTGTGCTTGTTTACTAATTATTAAATAACAGTATAATTGTATGTTGTAGTAGTCTACTAAAAATAATAACCATAAATCATTTATATTTATGTTATGTATGACGTGTATATGTTTCATAGCAGTATTTTTATGCGCTAAATTTGATAAAGTACAAATGTCACCCCCCCCCCTCCCATCTGATGCAGCAATACCCTCTCAGAATCAAAGAGTTATCACTGATATTTCTTTACTTTTGCTGGAACAACTTTTAGTTTACATCTAAACGTTATTGATGTTTATGTTCATGTTGACTGTAACAAAAGCATTTTTGTTTGTCTGTAAGAGCCTTTATTGTTATATTTAATTGGCACACTTATTTACCTTAAAAATGACGTATAGTTCTAAAAAATATGTCGAAAATTAATGAAACTGCAGTTTAATTTGTGTATACATCTCCTCGATAAAAACTGTGGATGCAGAGGGACTCAATTCTTGCACAAGAACGGGAATCCCCCTTGACCTGTTAGGCATTATTAGAGAAGGCAGTGGTTATGTGTACCATATTTGCATGCACTCAGACACAGAACCACAAACAATATACCTGAGATATTATATAATTTCAAGGAGTTTTTCAGCCACGATTATTTATCTCAAGACTATTTGAGACAGAAACACATCACGTGTTGCCTGAGAGAAATTAACATTTTTTAAAGTTCATACGAGACATTATTCCATGTGTCTCTCTTAAAAAAAAATTATTTCACCTATGCTTGAGGAAGCATACAGCAGGTGTGTAATATTTCCCACAAATACACAAAAAATTACTACTTTACTCAAATGCTACAAACACACAGAATCAATGGTTGCCAGTGAAGCTGTGCAAACAGCCAGCATCAACACAGCTACATGCATATAGTATCTTTAGAGTTAACTGCACAACTAAAATAAGAAATGTGATGAAAAAAATAATAAAAGATACAATGAAGAAACAAGAACAAAGGCAGGCAATACAGATAAATAATTTCATGGAACATCACAGAATCAAATGGTTTGGTCATCTGGTCAGAATGAAGCAAGCAGCCAGAGAGTACTACATGAGACCAACAGGCTGCACAAGCCAAGAGGCTTACTAAGAAAAATATATGTGAAGGGAGTAAAAAGGGACACTACAGAAATGCAGTATGACTTGAATACAAGTAAGGAAACCTGCAAAAGACAAGAAACTACAACTAACTCATCTCTGCAAACGCTGTACAGCATAAGCAGTAGAATAAAACAAAGAAGAGAGAAGAACACACAACTGTTAACACCGGAAATAAGAATGCCTGAAAAAAATGAACTCTGTGATTGTCTGAAGGACATGAATAAACAAAACAACACTACTAGTAATGACAACTGGTGTCCTAATGGAGCTATGCTGTACAAGACTCTTAAGCTTACATCTTTAATACACTGAGGACCCTGTCCTGCCCAGTAATTCTGTGGAAGATTGAGATTTCAACCCCTAGCAGTTAACTGGATAATACCAGAAATGAGGGAAAGTTTCAATCATTCTCTCAGCCTGCTGGGAACAATGATGAGCCCATACACGTTCTGAAGAAGTCCTAAAGGGCCACAACTCTTACTATGAAGAATACTTAGTCAGATAAGCTGTCTTGACGTAAACAATGTGATTATTAGATGAAGAAATGATAACAAACTAACCCAGTTAGAAAACAAAAGTATTTATAACATATGAAATATAGTCTAACACAATAAAAAATAAAAACATTTGGCAAGATATGTTTAAATCTGTAAAGCAACAAAATATTAACACCAAATAATCTAACACATACGGCTTGTGTATAAAACTACACATTACAAATTAACAGTGTGATGCAAACATTAAGTCCATGACCAGCAAGAGTTAACCTGTTCAATTATAACACAAAAGTATTTATAATACATGAAACATTGGTAAACAAACAAAAACATTTGACAAGATATGTTTAAGTCTGTACAGCAACAGAATATTAACACTGCATAATCCAACACATATGGCTTGTGTATAAAACTACACATGACACATTAACATAGTGTGATGCAAACATCAGTTAGTAAATGTATCCATTCCTAGTCATGCTCAATGTCCCTGCGGGTGCAAAAGGATCATTTTTTTTTTCCACAAACAAGCCACCAAAATGAGCCTGGAAAGCGGTGCATATGGGGCACGGGCACAAGCTTAAGTGCCAGGTTTTTTGCATCTCAGGCTCACACTGATCCACATCCATAACATGTAATCTTAGGCTCGCTGACTGTTGAATACTGCAGTTATGTCAGCTGTCAGATTACAGCCAACTTTAAAGTTTCCTGGTCCACTTTAATGTCTACAAGAGAGTTAACTACACTGGATATGAAAATTCACATGATAAGGACACTTTCAAAGGATCAGTAATTTCTCAGCTGTGATGACAGTGAAGTTTGGCAAGCTACTTGATCCATCATGATGATAATGTTGGTTCAGTGCTCCTTTTCCAGGGGCTGGACCAACTCAAGTCACGAAAATCCTATTACAGATAGTGTTATAATTGTATACAATTTAAGCCTTAGCATTAATAATACCTTGAGACAATCAACTAGCTTCAACACAGCTTTTCGTTTCCAACAAATTCTTATAAATATCTGGTAGTCATTTGATGAAATTGACCTAATAAAAGCCCAGAGCACACTGGTAGCAAAAACTTAATCCTGGTATATACAGTCTGCTATAACATTGCTTTGTAAACTGTACTCTAACAAAATAATTAAATAATTTATTCACACCTTTAAAAAAAAAAAAAAAAGTAATGTACCCTTTGCACGTCTCCAAGCATATTGAGCATCATGCCGGCCGCTTTTACTTCCCAGGATTGTACCTGGTACCCACTCAAGCTGGGTTGACCTGAATGTCAAATTCATTTCTGACTCGGCTCCACAAGGACCTGAAGCCACGACCTTCCGATCTCCAGACGAGCATCTCTAGCAAGTAAATATTTAGATTATCAAACTTCCATGCATCAAAAATTCAGAATGCATACCTAGCAATGCTAAACTGTAACCGAAATATATTTACACAAGTATTATAATATTATTCATAAGTGACAACTAGACATCTTTTAATTTGGGGATAATAAAAGAGGAAGACCAAGAAATAACATGGACAGATAAGGCAGTAGTTCAATAACCCAGTTATTGTAACACTGTCAACAAAGCTACTGATTGTCCCCAACTAGCTAACTGCATTGGTTATACCCCTGTGCAGTGTTTAGGAGATTTGGGTATGATTCTGTTACTACAAATAGCACTAGAGGAAGGGAGAGTGGGGGCATAGCTTGTTTCAAACTATTGTGATTCAACTCATAATCTGCCCCTAGCCTTTGTGCTCCGACAAGGTCATTGGTCAAATGAATCACCGGATTTTTTTTTAGCATCCAAGGGAATGAATTCCACGTAATTCTTTACTCCATTCATGCTAACTGATTACTCCTGTTCATCTAATTTTTAGAGAACATTTTTTTAATATTTATGGATAACTTCAAAACATATTTCGATTTGTTACCTGTAGTGTTTTTTTCCCTCTCAAAAATGGAATCCCAGACCCCACACAGGGAATTAGGAACTCTCTTTCTCAGCCCACTTTACATTCATCTTTCATAGATGTTCTTCGCTGTGTGATATGCAGCCCAAACAAATACAATTAGGACAAATCAAACTGAAATGTAATCCTTATTACACATGTTATTACACAAACAGAAATTAAAGTTATCATAGCTTCATACCAATTTGCAAAGTTAACATTTTCAAAAACGCACAATTCAAAAACCTATAACAACAAAAACTTATGCTTGTTTTTATCTAAATATTAAATACAAAAAAAAAACGCTTTTTGAATAGAAAAGTGAAATGACTTGGATTTTAAATTCTTTTTGCATTATAAATCTGTTAGCAACAAGCAAAATAAGCAACAAAGTAAATCCTTACAACATGCCTTCAAAATTCTGTTCATAAAGTTGTGGGTAAGATTTCCTTACAACATGCCTTCAAAATTCTGTTCATAAAGTTGTGGGTAAGATTTCCTTACAACATGCCTTCAAAATTCTGTTCATAAAGTTGTGGGTAAGATTTCTGAAACTGCTTCAGCCGCTGCTTCTTTTCTTTTAGTGAAATGTTGGTGTCATCTAGCACTGCATTCATCAGGTTGACCAAAGATTCCTCTGTGAGGTCTTTTGACTGTCTTTCAAATTCCTCTTTAGAAACTCTATCACAATAGCTGGATTCTGGGTGGATTAGAGAGGACAAAACAACAGATAAACATGTGATGCCGGGGGAATATTTACAGCAATTATAACATTTTAGTATATATAAAAATGTAACTGCTTCTTAATAAGCAGGTCATAAATGGTGACTAATCAAGGGTTTGCTGAAATCTGATCAATGTGCTGACACTGCAGCTTAGCTCTAATCCACAACATAAGGTGCCAACCGTCATTTTAAGGGCGAACGCAGAAGAAGAAGGTGATGTTGTTCTCTGTCATCACCAACAACATGCGCAATGTTGATAATAAAAGGCAGTCAGGCTATATTCATATGTTCACCGGTCTCAGATCAGGTCTGTAGTCTTGTCCTGCTGGTATTATGTATGCAGTTGTTTTTCCCCCCTCATCAGATTTGCCAGTTGTGTATTTCTAATTTATCTAAATGCTTTTAAACACCACACTGAATGTAAAGGTCAAGGGCAAGACAGCAAGAGGCAGACAATGATACAAGTAGAAGGACCACATCAACAGATGGACTAACAGCAGTCTTCTACTTCTTCTTGTGAACTCATTTGAAGTTGTAATTGCATTGTACCCGTTTATAGAAACATCAGTCTGAGAGAGAGTACAACCAGGACTACAGATAGAGTGTGTTGGAGTCAATTGCAGCCAACCTTCAGTGTGGAGCTGGCACCTGGTTAACTGATTGAAACAGTTTGAGGGTTTCATCATTTTCTTGCAGACACGGCTAATTAAAAGTGTTCTTTTTTCATGTTGGCATACCTACTCCTCCTCCTTTTACTTTGGTCCTTAAAATGGCAGTTGACATGCTATGGTGTGGTTTACATCTAGGCTGTGATATTTGCACAATGTTACCTATGTAAACAAACACAGAGGGGAACTGTGGTAGCGTAATAGCTGCTTTTAAGCATTTTTTTTTTGTTCACCAGCTGTAAACTCTGGTGGAAAGTTCTGTTTACTCATGCACTTCTGGATTGAAGTCTTGCATGCACATCCATTTGACAGATATGGCTTTCTTGTATCCAGACTGATGGTTCCCCGCAACTCAGATGGGTGCACTCCATCTTCACTATATGCTCTACGTGCTGAAGGCATGAAAAAAGGCTCATTACTTTACTTACTAACACAGAGACAACTAAATATGAAAAAAATCTTACCACACTCCAGCAAAGGTTTCCCCGTCTTCAGCTGGAACAGTCGGACTGCCACTCTCTGCCTGATGTCTTTTGGGACTGTAAATATTTTGTTCACATTGTTCATCATAAACTGAACCAGCTTTTGGGCCACATTAGATGCTAGAAGTTTATGCTTAAAGATGTGATCTGTTAGCAGGACTAGTACTGAAATCTCATTGGACACCTGTATGTGACACAAAAATACAATCTGAATATTTGAAATCTTACTTTGCACAAAGTATGGTTGCTGTCTGTAGTGAACTTAAAGTTAGTTGTGTAACCTTTACAGGACGTTGCAGAACCAACCCCAGCATTTTTTTTTTTTTTTTTTTTGGCTGTTTAGCTTAACAAGGCAAATTCATGTTCAATAGTTAAACATTGAATTAGGAAGAATTTGGAAGCAACAGAGATGTGGTTTCTGAGACGATTGTTACGATTACCTTGGACGGCCAGAGTAATTAACAACGATTGCTTAAAAGAGGCCAAAGAAAGTAGATATCTATATACAAAAATAAGAAAGAGACAAACACTGTTCTTTGGCCACATAATGAGAAGACAGACATTGGAGAACATCGTGACAACTGGAAAGATCAGTGGAAAAAGGTGTAGAGGCAGACCAAGAGAGATGATGCTGGATGGGCTGAAATGATGTCATGGAGAGATATCATCAAGAGAGCTGTTCCAGGCAACCAGGGATCATGATCTGTGGAGACGCATGAGCGCCTACGCCAGTTGGCATGGCACATGATGATGAGCTAAACACTGACTGAGTGGTCAGCACTCTATGTTATTGTCAAAATCAATGCAGCACTATGTCACTGTCAAAATCTTGAAATTTGTTCTCCATTCAATTAGGTGCAAAAATGCAAAATATTATAAGTTTATGTTAAATAGCTGTGAAGCTTTGGAATTTTTGTTAGTTTATATCGGTGTCAGAAAAAACCCAAGATTTAACGGTTGCCTTCTCTGCACCAGTCTACAGCAACATGATGGTTACATAAAACAAGATTACACAATTTTTGTTCTTGAAGTTTGTTTTCCATTCAGACTGGTGCAAAAATACAAAACATAGGTTTCTGTTCAACAGCTGTGAAGCTATGACATTATTAGTACACTAGAAATATGCAATATCTGGGAAAGTGCAAGGGTTAATGGGCTTGGTAGTCAGTGGGTTAAGCCAACTTCCTTTCCTTCTCAGAACATTTCTTGGTTAACATTGAAAGTATGATTGATAGGGAAGCCCCAATCAGTTTAATGAACCCACTCCACGTTCTTTAGATGAGTTTTCCATTGTGCTGTATAGGGACAAGGGGACTGCCATGGTTTAGAGAATCAGAAGGTCATGGGTTCGGGTCCTGACGGAGCTAGACTCATTTTCAAAACTGATCTTGGCTCTCAGGTCGACCCAGCCTTAAATGAGTAGTGTCCCGGAAAGTAAAGGCGACTGGTGCGATGCTGAGCACACCACTCACCAAGTGCCAAATATAGGCCTAAATAAAATATAGGCCTAGCCCTATATGCCTGAAGGTCTGAAAAAGGGTCCTTTGCATCATATAGGAAGGCATGTGAATTACAACCCATGGCAATAACAGTTAGGACTAGGGATAAAGATCCTCCTCTTTAAAGGATAAAGCTTGGATAGTGTTATAAATACCATGTGATGCCCAGGCAGCATAATCCCTCTGCCAACCGACCTGTTTTGTGAGCTCAAAGGGACAGATATCATCAATGTTTGGAACAGAGCATGGTACAGTGCTATTTCTGCCTGCCTGTCAGAGCATCCATCCTAACCAACTGCCAGCCAAGGCAAAGAACCTGGTCTGCCCTGCCGTAACATTTAGTTTTTAAGATATATTTCCTTGTCCTAGGATAGGGCCAGTATCCTCCACCCAAAGCAGTTGATATAAGTGGGATGCCAGGTCTGCTATATGCTGCCCAAGCAGGCAAAGTGTGCACTACTGCAGCTCCCATACCTAATACACACAATACAAGGAAAGGCTTCCACATGCACTGAAACTTACCAGAAGAGAAACTGGATTAATATGGCCTGGAGAGAATGAAGCACCTGGGTGTGACCAGAGGGTCTGGCCGGCTCACTGCACTTAGAGGAAAAGCAAGACTGACATATAACCAGAATACGGCCAGTACCATTAGTACAGGAACTTTGCATTAGTTGCTGAAGATGAGTACAGGGTGCATATAGAAATACCCCAAGTGCTGTGATGTCAATTCTTAAATCAACTGAAACTCACCTGTGGATCCAGCCGTATTGCTGAATCAGCGGCCAGTGACCTCATGAACCTCAGTAGCCTATACAGTTCTTCCCTGATGGCCACAGGTAATAGGATCACATAAAGCTGCAGAGCAGACAGGGCTAGAAACAGAAATGTATGTCATTTACATATCTGATAAACACGGCTAACTTTAAAAAAAGCATTTATTAGCGGCATTCTTCATGTTTGCATTCAATGGCTGTAAACTTTATTAGAAAATCCTGGTTGTTTGTCCACTTATGGATTTAAATCTTATTTCAGAACATGAGTTTTGCGTAGCCATCTATTTAACATAATTGGCTTATTGTATGCAGACTGCAGGCTTCTCATCTCCCAGACAGATGCACTCCAACTTCACAGTCTACTTTTATGACATGCTTGTAGTAGGCCTACACCCCTCCCCCCTCTCCCCCACCCCAGAGCCTGGAAACTCCCAAGGAGGTAGCAGCATTCACAACAACATGAGTATTATAGACCAAACTGGGCTTGTATTGTTTTTATTGCTGCCATTATGTTACACATCGTGAGAAACTAATGATCTGCAAGTTGTTTGCATGCAGAAAAGTAGTCGGTTAGAACTGTTTTATTTCTGCTATCACAATCTCCACTTAATCCTAGTGGTGCTATACGAGATCCCTAGATTCTTTTTCTTTGTGTTAACCAGCTGCAAAATGGTGGAAAGTTCTCGTTGTCCGTCTACTTCTGGACTTTAGTCTCATTCCAGAACTTGAGTTTCACATGCACATCTGTTTTGCAGACCTGGTTTATTTTGTGCAGCCTGTTGGTGCCTCGCCTCTCAGGCAGATGCACTCCCACTCTAAAAGAAACACCCCTAACTAGTGGGCTTTGACAACATGCTTGCTGGGGGTGGGGGCAGTTGGTTTATTATTGTTGGGGTCCCATAACCCACTCATGGGTAATCCCTAGATTCAGTACTTTTCCTAAAACAGACAGGAGTAGCTAGCAAAGCAATCAGGGCACTGGTCTTTCATACAGGAGATCTGGATTCAACCCTCAGTAAGATGTGGACGTGTTCTGTCAGGGCAAAACATGAAAATCATAACATGCACAGTTCGTGGCAACCGCACTAGCCATGTCGACTTTAATCCTCAGGCTCGTGCCCTTCTTCTTTCCTCTTTTGTCCTACTGCGTATACCATTTAGTGTTGCAGCAAGGAGTTAAATGTAGGTTCCTGTCTTATGCTGCTAGTTGCGTAGCTTGTGTTAATATCATACTGCACTTCTGTAGTGTGTCTTTTACTCCCTCTATCTGTATTTTTCTTGTTTGGCCTCTCTCCCTAAAAGTGGCAAATACGGGCAGCTAAGCGTTTTGCCTTCAATATTACAAATAGGTGCCATCTCTGCAGTTGAGGTAACATGGAAAATTTGATGTCAACTTACCCGCACTGCATGATAACAGCAAGTACTTCTATATAAGTTTTTAGCGGCGGCATTGCTAGCAATTCAATGGGTAATCACTAGGAACTATAAAGCCTAAATTATTGGTATAGGGGTAGATGACCCACACAAAAAAAGCAACAGAAGTGGAAGAAAAAGAAACAACATATACCACAAAAACAAGACCCTACCTGTATCAAAGTTGCTGGACAAGACCAGGTTCAGAATGGCCATATGTATCTCTAGATACTTGGGTGGCAGAAGGGTTTCCTCCAGACTGGTGAAGTGTTTCATGATGATGTCCTTGGCCCACAGTTTGGCTTCCAGACCTCTGCGTCTGAACACAGGCTCACTTAAAAGATGTAAACCTAAAGACAATAAAAATGACTTACCATAATCCTATATTCAACACTGTTATCTCTTTTAAAAGGTGTCCAAACCCTTTCTTTTCTCCAGGCCATGTGGGAGTGGTGAAGACTGAACAGTAGGACAGATTGGCTGGATCTGCACCATTGGGTGGTGAAGTGAGACATGACAAGGCAGATGTGGTCAACTGCCTTTGGGAACAAGTAATTAAGTCAGAAAAGAAAGTATATTATGGCCTGGAGGGAATGGTGCTCTGGGGGGTAACCAGGCGGTCTAGCCGGCTCACTCCACTCAGAGGTAAGGCAAGACGGACATATAACCAGATTATGACTGGCACCATTAGTACTGGAAATCTGTGCTGGCTGCAGAAGATGGGGATGGAGCGCATATGGGAATACCTAGAGTGCTAGGATGTCAATTCTTGACTCAACCCTTTTGACCCAAACAAATCTTTGAAAACAAATTATCTATTCACAAAGTGCTCTAGAAAGGAACACATCTTTATAATTCTCGGAAAATCTACCCTAAGAAACTAGAGGAAGAGAAAAATAAGCAAAAGACATTGTGGCTGCCTTGGTCATTTTTTTTTAAAATCCAGGAGATTAAAACCTGTGACCACTGAGCAAAGGCAGACAGAGACTGACTAATTCGCCACAAAGATCTCCATACTCCAACATGCCAAGGATCGAAGGAAAATCGTGCTTTTACACAAACATATACCCTCCATTCTTTTTTCCCCTTAACATTATGGTCTGCGGACAGCTACTAGGGAATCTGGCCGACGCTCAAGGAAAAGACAAGATGGATGAACATTCTTTTTTTTAAAATCCAGATTAAAACCTGTGACCACTGAGCAAAGGCAGACAGAGACTGACTAATTCGCCACAAAGATCTCCATACTCCAACATGCCAAGGATTGAAGGAAAATCATGCTTTTACACAAACATATACCCTCCATTCTTTTTTTCCCTTAACATTATGGTCTGCGGACAGCTACTAGGGAATCTGGCCGACGCTCAAGGAAAAGACAAGATGGATGAACAACCAGACAGTTAACTGGTCCCACTGGAATTGGAACTCTTCGCTTGCTGCTGAAAATGGGGACGGAGCACTGATGGGAGTGCCCAGAGTACTGTGAATTTGATTCTTTATTCAACATTCTACCTTAAAACAGTAGTTGGTGCATTTTTTGCTGCGGCTTACAGCCAGGCTGCAATATGTGTGCCTTTTGGGGTCAAAACATCCAAATTCAACACTTTTTCGCTTTTTAAGAGATGCCTGTTAAGGAGCATTGAGTACATTTACTTGCCCCCAAAACCCTTCCTTGGGTACTCCACGTCACTCTGTCAACCTATCAGACATAAATATATATATATATACATACATACGAGGGGGGAGGGAGAGACCCGCAAACATAACCACCTAAACAACAAACTACATACCTTTAGGAAGGAATTCAATGCATTCCATTGCACTCAGTAGGAGAGGGTCAGAACGACTATCTGTAACACCTGGTATCAAGGGAAGATGCCAGTTGTGGGCCACAATGTTAGAGATGATCAGATGATCTCGCTGTTTCTGTTGGCAGTTGCGTTTATCTTCACTGAGAATGCCATCCAAAAATGTCAGCTCAACAAGTGTCAGCAGTTGCATCAGGGCAACCTCCCTCCAAACATCCTCCACTTCTGTCACAATCAGAGAGTGTAAAAATTAGCCATGAGCACATCTCAGGAGAAAAGCTGACAAATAACATGGCAGAAATATGTTTAGAATACAAATGTCAAACGGAAAATCCACAGGTCACTCTAATATTTCAGGGGGTGGTAGATAGGCTGCATGCAGTCATGGGACCTAAGCTGAATGCATTCATGGGACCTAAGCTGAACTCTCTTGTGGGACCAGTTCTAGATGTTTTGGGGGTCGTTAAAAGCATCAGAAAGCCGGGAAACCCAGTCTTACCACCCTCTAAAATGTGGACTGTCCTGTGATGTTATCTGGGGTAAGATAATAATAAAGAACTGATAGCTCATATTACATAACTGAAACAATGTATCTATGCATGCACACAGATGTAACACTAGATACAACAATAATTAAAGTAATAGATCAATTTACTTGTTTAGGTAGTAATAATAGTAGTCAAAGAAATAGAGGAAAGACATTATTACAGGCACCGGCAAGGCATCAGCAGCTTTTCAAAGCTTGAACAAAATATGCAACTTTAAATTATGCAAATTTAGAACCAAGTTATGTATTTTCGGTTCTAACGTTATTTCTGGTAAAGTTTGAGAACCACTAAAGGCGTGGAAAAGATATGAAATGAAGGTAAAATGCATTCGAAAACAAATGCATGAGAAAAATTATGAACTGAAAATGGGATGAATTCAAGACAAGTGAAGAAATAAGTGAAAAGTCTAGGGAACCGCTAGTATAAATAGTTATAAGAGAGAGACAATGATGCTATAGTGGGCCCATTCTGATAAGAGAAGAAACAGGGAATCAACAAGCAGGCGTAAATGGTAAATAGAGGGACTAAGGAAATGAGAACATACAAGAGAAAGCTTAGAGCGAACACTGATGAGTCAAGCCAAAGGTGGTGGCTGATACATATCATTTACATAATTGTGCCAGGGCATGCAATGTAAGGAAATGAGCAGGCCGAGAGGATGACCTGTGTTCTTATCCTCTTCCGACTAGCTAACTAATTAAGTAAATAAACTAGCCAAATCTCAGACTATTAAAACATACAGGGTCTGTGAAAGATCTTCCACAATAACTGGGAGTCTGCAAGACTTAGCTAACTGAGAACCACTGTTCTAGAAGATTCACAACCAACCAAACATGCCAGATGTAAGATACCAACCATCCTCAGTTAATTTCTTTACTAGCCTTCCTGGGGTCACATTTAAATAGGGTAAACTTTCAACCGATGACGTGGGACTTCTATTTCCAATTGGAGTGTCTGTGTTGGGTGAATGCGGCTCTTCCTCTGGTTCAAAATGTTCTGATAACCTATTTACAAGAAGAAGAATATTACAATATCATTATAGTTTAAAATAAGAATGGCACTGGATTCTGGATTTCAAAGACAACAAATTAACATTATCTTCATAAGTCCAGGGTACTTCGCATCCTTTGGATATTTTCTATAGCCTATGCAGGTGTGTTAGGAAATGAACAAGCAGACAGACTTGCTGGCTCTGTGCCACTTAGTGGTAAATTTGTGCATGACAAGCTAGATTTTGTCAAGGTTCTTTGGGAAGCAGTGAACAGTGCGCAGGCACACTTTTGGGCAGTGACTAGGGGATGTGGCCAACACTCCACACTAAGAAGAAAGGCAAGACACATTTACAATCAGACGGTTACTGGTACCATCAGAGTTAGACCTCTTTGCTGGCTGCTGCAGATGGGAACGGAGTGCTTATGGGAATGTCCTGAGTGCTATTGATGTCGGTTCTTAAAACTCAACCCAAAATTATAAATATGAGCTGCATTAGACTAGTTTGAGTGAACTAACCTGCCAGAATAGTTCACACCTGTCTGTCTTTCCAGACAACAGTATTATATTCTGCTATAAGGAAGGCATTCATTGAGTGGTGACTGGGCAGAATAGAGGGAATTGAATGGTATGATAGAATTACTAATGCAGAGCTTTGGGAAATGACAACATATTTCAGTGGACTAAGAGATGAAGAAAAGATGCTCGCATTGGATAGGACACACATTGAGAAAACCTGATAACAGTTTAACTAGAATGTCTTTGTGCCAGAACCCACAGGGGCATAGAAATAAAGAAAGACAAAAAAAAACACAAGGAGAAGGGAGCTGGAGAGTGAAGTTAAAAAGATGGGGAGGACAAAGGGAGTGCTGCATGCAACAGCAAGAAATAGAACCACGTGGCATAAGTTGGCTGAGGGCCTTTGCTCCATTGGAAGTTAGAAAGGCAGAAGAAGAAGATAAGGAAGGAATGTGAATCATAAGCATTTAACATGCTTATTTTCAGACACTTATCTCTTAACCTATCTGCAGTCATCTCATTTATCCCTATGACCTTCCTGATTTTCCCTATTCCCTTCTTGATTATCCCTATTCCTTTCCTGATTTTCCCTATTCCCTTACTGATTTGTCCCCTCCCTAGTTATTTGCGTTTCTACACTAGATTAACTATTAGTGAACTGGCATGGCAGTAATCTGCATTTTATCCTCAGTTTATTAGGTATGCAAACGCTCCGTAATTCCGGGTTCGATCCCAGCTGCGGGCCATGCTTTGGTTTCAACAGTGGTATCAAGAGAGCCGAATGTCCAGAAAGCAATGGCAAACTACTGGATGTAAATGCCTAGAAAAACCACACAACAGCCAGGGGCTGTTGGGGTTGATTCAGCAACGTCCTGTAAAGGATACGCAACTAACCTTTATTAGGGTTGGTTGTTTCTTTGCCTGCAGCATTGAGATCACCCATCTGTATCAAAATTTGTATAAGGTATTTCTTTGTCAAAGGAAGTGGATCCCCCTTTATTTAAATGACTAGCAAACATAAAAATATCTTTAATGTAGCATGCGGCATTATACTGCTTTTTGCATTATAATATAAATGTAAAATTGGAAGCATATGGTAGTAGCAGTAGTAGATTTTACCCCACTAGGACAACACACAAGCGATGAACACCCGATGACACAAAGTGCGCCCACACGGATGAGAATCACCCGTGGGGAGGTCCCAGAAATTGTGTTCAGCCGTTAGACCCTATTTATTGCCTGGCTATATTGCGGCCCCTGGCAAGAGCCAGGGTTGGGCTTCAAAATAACTAAAAATTGCGTCCCACAAGGAGAAGACTTTGTTAACTGTAAACAAGTGCATGGTTGAAAACCATTTTCTAAATAAAAATTTCACAGTTAAGCATTGTGTTAACATTTTCCTAATATATAAAGTACAAGATCATTTGCACACCTACAGACATCTATTATATGGTGATAGACACATATTTCCATAGATACAATCAGTATTTCCTAATATTTTTAAATTTTATTTTAGACAGCTTTCTAAATTTAGACATTCGGCATGCTCAATTCCATTTCCAATCCCAGGGAGATTTTTTTTCGGTCCTTGACCAGCAAGGCCAGTCAACTATACTAGGAAGAAGAGAGGTATACCATGCATTTTCTTATGATGTAAAAAGTTGAAAAGACAACACAGACAAACTGGACCTGCTCTGGGGAACCTAAGACCCCTCAAGCTTATATCCAAGTTTATGGCACAAAAAAGTCAGATCAGCAAAGAGATAGAGATGAATACTACAACCTCTGACCTACACTGCTTTTTCTCATGAAATCTTTTTTAATATCCCAAATCAGCTTGTGTTAGAAGCCAAAATCCTAATTCAGAGAACATCAGAAACAGATTGAAAAAACAAACACTGGTTATAACCATTGAAAAAAGAAAATGACCTCACACACCTAAATAGAGCAAAGTCACTATCTTTTGCTTCACTGGACTCTGCAGACTAAACAAACACTCATATAAATTAGGTATCAGCAAAACAGCCCTCTCCAAGTGTCTTCATGATAAACAGGTTCGAGAACATGTCCTACCGTGCAAAACAACATATGGTCACACCCAGCAGACCTGACAACTAAGCTCTGGGGAACCTTAGACCCCTCAAGCTTATATCCTAGTTTATGACACACAAAAAGTCAGATCAGTAAAAAACAAACAAGACGAAAGTCTAGAAGTGAACAAAAAACCCGAACTTTCAACCAGAGTTCAACAGCTGGTGAACACAATGAAGACGAAGAAGAAGAAGAAGAAAGAAGAAAAAACACAACTATAGTCTGACATCATGGCATGGAGGATAATCTAATCAGTTTCAGTTGACTGAAAGTACACAAGATAGAAGTTTGTGGATAGACATGACTACCAAGGCCACATGGCATGTACTTAAGAAAAAGTGGTCACCACATGACAAGGTGAATGGATCAGGAACATTAGCAGAGATCGCTGAAGAAACATTTACCTCAGTCTGTCAGAGCTGTAGGTTAAATTCTGGGTACTGTTACACTCATGTTCATCTTCTTCCTCTGCAGCTTCAGCTGGTTCTCCATCAACCGCATACTCCCCTATAAACTGATACAGCTTACTGCTGCTGTCCTCAAACACACACGGTTTATCCAGGCTGGGCTTGTCTACAGCTGAAGCAATAACCTTCCGCTGCATCAACATTTGGCAAACCTACAAATAGAATATTTTCAAACAAATGTAATTTCCAGCTTTCCAACTTTTCTCAGGCAGAAAGTCCTGGCTGTTCATCCATTTGGACAATGGCATTGTGCCAGGGCCTTAGTTTTGCGTGTACATCCGTTTTACTGGCTTGTGTGCTGGTTATTTATTGCCGCTCAGACAGATGCCCTCCGACTTCGAAGGAAGCCCCCAGTTAGTCGACTCCTACAATACGCTTGTTGGTGAGTCAGTGGGTCTATTCTTGTTGTCCCACATAGGGCCCCGGAACCCAAACGGGCAATTTAAGTATTATTACTTGAGGTTCCAGCGCCACTGCAGATGGGTCGCCCCATAGCTGCTCTGTCCCTGTGCCAGTGGAAATCATACAAAATGTCCTCCACTGTTCCGTTTAAAAACTAGTGAAAAACTTGGTCCCAGCAGTCCTGAAGCTTGGACATGCAAAGAAAACAAGCATGAGGCAGCTGTCAAATATGCTAACACTAACAGTCCCACATTAAAATTGAAGCTGACTGTTGGTGCATAAAGTGTCAATCATGAAAGCAGGCCTTGCGTCTGCAACAGTACACAACATTCTAAATGTAATCAGCCACCTGCCATTTTAGTGCAGTCAACAATACACTGTGGGCATGACTGGAAAAAAAAAAACCACAAGAAATCCACAGCTTAGTGTTGCATCAAACACTCAGCCCAGTAGCTGGGCAATAAAACTTTTGAAATGGGAAATTTGAATCAGCAAAATTTAACAGAAAACAAATAACTTTTCAGAATGTCAGTAGTCAGCCAGTTATCTGCCCCAGTATAAATGTGTTATCTATCCATGAGATGTTAATGACTGACAGACTGCAATCCTGGTGGAGAAATGTTTTTTTTTTAAATCCATAATCAACAAACCCACCTACATGGGACTACAGGTTATTTCGTAACTGTCAGGTGTCCCAATATAGATGTGTTATTTACCCATGAGACGTTAATCCCACAAACTGCAACTCTGGAGAAGAATTTATTTTTCTTCAAAACCACAGGCCAAACATGGGGGGGGGGAGGAGAAATTATCATTCTTCTCTTCCACTGTGTACCTCAGTGAAGTGTCGGGGAAGATGTAACATCGCTGATGAGTTCTGTCAAGAGCACTATAAGGGACTGATGTTAATTTCTGTAAGGCTGTTCTTAATGCCATCACTTCATCTTTTCCGAGGTCTTCCACTCGCTCTTTAGCCGTTGTAACGTTTTAGTGTAGCTCGCTGTGGAAGATAGTACCAGGGCATTCTTGTTAGGTGTCCAAACCACTTCATTTGTTGTTATTTGATGACCTCTAAGATTGGCTTTCTTCCCAGCATTTGTCTGATTTCATGATTTCCTGTTTCTGCTACAGACACATTTTTATTTGGCAGGCAAGCACTCTAATCACTATGCCACCACACCTCTTAGAATACAATGATTCATTTTTTTCAAATCCCCTTTACCCTGTCTGGACTTCAGTTTAACCTCCCAGCTAAAAAAAAAAAAAAAAGGGTGTCTGGGTTTTGTACCTGGGGGAATTCTCGTCCGAATAGTGACATTTTGCATTACCTGGTGTTAATCCCTCATTGTGCAGTTCTAGTGGGATTCAACTTCCCTCACTCAGGAATAAAAGTTACTGCTGTGGGTTGGAAGCCAGTGTCCTTCGCTGCCAGTCAGTCTGACCTGGGTTCAAATCTCTTTTTTTTTTCAACATCAATGGCCACAAAGTCTGTCTGGGATACAAATGGGATGACAACTTCAAGAGATGGACAGTAGTCTCAGAAAGTGTTCAGCCAAGAGAATGGTGAAGATTGATTTCAACTTATTATCACTGTGGAGAGGGCACCTCATTGACCAACTGGCCATATCCTTACTACTCCAAATGGCAGTAAAATAGCGTACTTGACATTTACGTGGAAGCTATGCTTGCCACTCTGCACGGAGCATGCCTGTTTGTACCTTTCTCAACATGCTCTGTGAGTGAATTACAATTACGACATGTGTGTACAGCTGATTCTCAATCCAGCGGAAGACAGCAGTGACAAAGAACATTCACCTTTACAGCCTTTTCTCTCGACAAATCTGCAGAAAATGTGTCCCTATCATTGAGGAGAAAATGAAGGACAACATCAACAGCATCAGTGCCTGTAAAACATGAATCGATGGATTTCATTTTATGACGGCGACGTTTCAGCTCCACTTTTGACTTTAGATGATCAATCAAATCATGCCAGATCTTTGTAGCTTTGAAAGGACCTTCAAATATAGAAATATAGTATGTTAGAATTTATATGACAATTATTATGGAAAGTAATGGCAAGACATGGAGTTAGCGAACACCTCATCGAAGTGTGCAAAAGTTTATACAGGGATTGTAGAAGTGCAGTTAGAATAAATCAGGGAACATCTCATCCTTTCACAGTGACATCTGGAGTAAGACAGGGGTGTGTCTTATCACCACTGCTGTTTATCACCTACATCGACAGTATATGCAAGAATGCCAAGCCCATGAATGAAGATCTTAGTAAGATCAACGAATTACTCTTTGCAGATGACCAGGCCTTGATAGCAAATACAGCCATGAAATTGCAACAACATCTAACATCCATGAATGAAGAATGTAAAACAAATAATATGAGAATCAACACTGAAAAGACAGAAGTAATGTCAATAGGAAAAAAGAAGACAGATCTAAACATAGCAATAGAATACAAAGATGGGAAATTGGATAAAGAAATTAACATTAGATGCAGTAAAGCAAACCAAGTATTGGGACAGCTAGCCCCCCTCTTACAGCATAAGACAATCCCAATCAGCACAAAGAGACATCTTATTCAAAGCATATTTATTCCAACTCTGTGCTACCAGTGCCAGACATGGTCACTCACAACAAACCATAAAAGAAAATTAGTAACCACGGAAATGAGATGTCTGAGAAGGACTGTAGGAGTGACCATAAGAGATAAGATCAGGAATGAGATCATAAGAGAACAAGTCGGCACAGAACCAATTCTGGATTACATACAAAGACAGCAAGTGAAATGGTTTGCCCACTTAGAGAGAATGCCTTGTGACACCATACCATACAAAGCATACATGGAAAGAGAAGAAGGATGTAGAGCACGGGGTAGACCGAGAACAAGATGGAAGGATAACATCAGAGAAACTCTACAACAGCACGATGTGCCTATGGTCGAGGCAGCCAGAAGAGCTAGAAACAGAACCTTATATCTCCCTCGACACCCACAGCGGTAAAAGTGGAAGTGAAGAAGAAGAATGTATATACATACACACACAGGAGTTTTTTTCTACTAAAAAGGTGCCAGTATTAACCACAAAGTGTCTGCCACAGCTGCACTTAAAAAATAAATGATGCCTTAAAAAAGGTGCGAGTACTGTATACCACCAGAGAAAATATAAAATAATATATGGTAAGTCATATAGTGCAGAATGCTAAATTATGCGAATGAGACTAAACATAGAATAAGGCTTATAATAAGTGACCAGGTTGAACTTAGTACAACAGCAACATTTTAAAGACACTCTTTACTAATAAAAATGTACAGTAGACTAAGGAAATACATGAATCCTCAACCAGCACTTTTTTACAAATTTAATCATAATAATCAAAACCACTTGACTCTTGCTCGTATTGATAAAATTAACTAGAAATAAATGTATACATAACTGGATATTAGTCATAAATAATATTATAACTAACAATGAAATACATTGTAATGGGGATATTTCATTTTATATTTCAACAACACATAAGATGCATGCAAACACTGACACCCACACTATATATATTTTTATATAAGGAAAGAGAAAACTGCCCAAAAGAAAAAGTACCTACTGACGTACTGAAAATCTAGTGCTAGAGCTATATTCTATAGACTTGTCGGCTGTTGGTGTGTGATGTGGCCAAAATCACACCAGCTGCTTTTTACTTCTGCAGGCCAAGGTCATTTTTATAAAAAGAAAAAAGTCTGGCACGCATTCAGATTCGAACCCATGACCTTCTAGATGCATACCATGGCAGCTCCCTGGGTGTCATGATTAATGATAATGGCTAACTAAATGTGATAGCCATAAAGAAAACAAAACAGTTAAAGCCCCGCTGGGGGAGGCGGGGGTGTGGTGTGAGCTGACTATGTGCAAACAAGTGTTAGACAATCATTAGCTGGGAGAACGGCAAGAGACAGTGAACATTATTGTAGTATACAACAAAAAAGAAAAAATTCCCACAGTTAATTAAGAGAGTGCTGCAGCTGGATATCCACATAAGTTTCAGCAATCAACACAGCCAGAAGAGAAGGAAGGATAACTGAGGTACTTAAGGATCACTTTCCATAGGAGTATGTCATGTCATTCAGGGACCAGGTGGAGATAGTTACATCGAAATGCCAAAAGGGGCCGGGTGCACTGACAATTATGGCAGCTTTGGACATGGGGCAAGATATGCTGTTTAAAATATACTGGCACTTTATTTCTGTGATGGATCATCGATTGGGGCTGCTCAACATATGAAAGCATCAGCTGGTGAAACATGGATGCACACAGAATGAAGCCAAGCGAGTGATTCTAGAATGTACAAGAGACGGTAGCCAGGGACAACAAAAACTATATTCTCTATGAACCTTTCAATACAGGTTGGTTAGAGGGAATTCCTGGATAGTCAAGCAGACATATTTAGAGAGATGTGTATGCTGGAAAACATTGGGAGAGGAGAAGAGTAGGCAAAATCAGACTTGAGCAGGGTTCTAATCACACTTGGCCGAGGATTCCGTTAGCAGGCACTGCAGAATCAGAAATTCAACAATTTATGATAATTTCCCCCAGGTGACTTCATTATCTATACAGATGATTCTGTGTTGAGAGGCAGAAGAAGTACATGACAGTTCAATATGAAAGTGAATACTAAATGGATAATGCTTAGCACAGCAGTCTAATGTGTGATACTAAATCTAGTTTGAGAATGGAGGTGCAGGCAGTCACAGCAGCTTTCTGCTGGCTTTCAAGCCAGCAGTACACACATGCATGTCATTATTCTAACTGCTCACAAAGCATGCTAAGAAAAGTGGAGACAGGTATGCCCTATGCATACTGGAAAGGTCCTGGATACTTAGTGTATTTTTTTTTTCCTCCAAGGCATTCAGGAAATGAACAGACAGACAGATGGCTGATTCTACACCAATGGGTGGTGAATTAAATTTCTGCAGTTACTGTTTCCACCTCCGTTCTAATGCTAGATTTAGATAGATGTGGATGTCGTATGCTAGGCGGTCTAAACCCCCAGGAACTCTTCTTTCCTCTCAACACCGAGATAATCATATCACCTGGGCGTGAATTATCGTGATTCAACTGTGGACTTCCACCAATAGTAATCAGTAATTCAACAGAATACGCCACAGAATTAGTAATTCAATTCTGGTTTGTTCCTCTATCACAGCAATGCATTCCCATTCATTCATCACCTATCTTGGACTGTTCGCGGAAATCACTTGAATTTGTCCTTTGCTTTTTTTTTTTAAATTTAGGCAGCTGAAACAAAATATGTAAACTGCTGTCGTTACATACCAAGAGGACCTTTAGATTCTCTAAATGGAATTGCCCTGTCGAACTGGGCAGGGTGTGGGGACATAAAACTAGAAGACTGCTCACAATCACTGCTAGCCATCTCCGGCAGTGTTTTGAAACAGCCTCCTTTGAGACGGGCTGACGTGGTCAGGTTTTTCTGCGTGGACCTTCTCACTAGGAGAAATGTTTCCAATTATTTCCGTCGTCAGTAAAGGAAATACCAGTGTAATTGTTGCAGATAATTACTTCAAAAGCTAAAACTAATAAGGACGATCAGCACTTTACGATGGACATAATAAATCCTCCAGTTTAATTAAAAATGTTAATAAGATTACCTAATTTCTCATTGCACAATATATGTAGCAATCGCAGACAAAAGTGTGAAGATAACAATATCTCAGCAAGGAAATTGATTCTTTAAATGTCTCCACAAAATGTATATACGATAAAAGAAATAGAAACAATTTTACTGCAAAATCTATTAAACAGTGTATTATAATAAATAAAATGTGACAATTACCAATTCTTATTCTGTATTGTATTTAGGATACATTTTTTAGTCATTTCGAAGACATTACAAAGTGGCCGGACACATTGAAGGGAGCGAATCAAAACAAGATGGCTTCGACTTTGATTCGAGCTTGTGTGACCCACAGGCTTATGTTTACAACAGTTAGATCGTCTACACTTTGCCCTGCTTTGATAAACTATGGTTAGCTATCCAAAATTTGTTTTTATGTGAATTTTAGCTACAAGTGGTTTTTTTTTTTATAAATATAATCATTATATTAATAATTTCAGGTTTCGTCCTCTTTGCTTCTTCTAGTTCAACTAGTTCTTCTGTCGGGATGATGATAATCTGCTGAGTATTCTGATTCTGAGGTCTGTCTCATTTGTTTGGTTAACTCAGAACCAACAACCTCAACGGTTGACTGAAGTTCATTCAGGTCAGGTATCCCTTGGGTGCTACAGGGTTGTTGGTGCTAGCCACATATTTTAGACCAATCTGCACTTAATAGGTGATGAAGTATAAATTGGGCTCTCCTTTCAAATTTGGCCGGTAAGCTGGACTGCTTCGGCCGGCTTAGGGGGCTTAGTGGGAGTTATGTCCCGTGGCCGCACTCAAAACAAGTCGCGGAAAAAGTCACAAATCAAATGGCATACTTACCTATCATCATCCGGTTGCGTGTAGGGTTGCGTAGGGTGTCTATCATCGTCCTACGGGTGCGTGTAGGGCTGCTTATTGCGTGTAGGTTGGTCTAGGGTTTAGGGTTTATGGGTATGGTTCGATTTGAACATTTTCACGTAGAAGGTCGAAATAGTGGCCGACAATCTGACGTTTGTGGGAGTGGCGCCACTGAAACTCTGTCAAATATGACGCCAATAGCGGGCGGCTGGTGCCCAGGCGCTGGCGAATTGTCCGTGTCGGTAGCATCCACCGTACGTCGACTGTTTGCGCGTGCATACAACTGTGCGCGATTATAGGTAACTACGGCGTCATATTTGGCAGAGTTTCAGTGGCGCCACTCCCACAAATGTCAGATTGTCGGCCACTATTTCGACCTCCTACGTGAAAATTTTCAAATCGAACCATACCCCTAACCCTATACCCTAACCCCTAACCCTACCCCTTATCTTACGCAAACAACCAACCTACACGCAATAAGCAGCCCTACACGCAACCGTAGGATGATGATAGGTAAGTATGTCATTTGATTCGTGACTTTTTCCGCGACTTGTTTTGAGTTGTTTTGAGTTTGGCGAAGGGACATAACTCCCACTAAGCTGACCGAAGCAGTCCAGCTTACCAGCCAAATTTGAAAGGAGAGCCATAATTTGAGTATATACCATATATGAATGATTATATCACAGTCACACATTACTTTTTAGTTCCCAAAAATATTTTGGTTTTTTTTTTTTTTTTAAATAATTAAATTAATTATTAATTTTACGCTGTGTCTGCCTGGAAGCATAGCAGACCAATTAAATGCATAACAAATAACTCACCTAACCTTTGTCCTTGTGCCGAGTGATGCAGATGTTTAAGGCAGTGAGCATGCAGATTATCTATCAGACGAGGTGTTTACCATGACTGGACAGGATTGATGGCATTAATACCATGCGAGCTGCATATTGCAGCTAAAATCAAAACAAGCAATACTCAGTATCCTTGTCCAGTTTGGTGGACATGGGGGTAAAGCCTGGAGCAGATACATGAACATGTCACTAAGGCCACAGGTTAGTTAGTCTTTCCTCTTGTGTCGAGTGCGGCACATAGGGCAGAGGTCATGACTCTCCATGCATGGCGGTTCGTTGCAATCCGTTGTAGGTCTTGGATGTTTGAGTGGCCCATGAGCGAGCCTTCCCTGATGATAGTTCTACGTAGGGTTCCACTTGGTCTTCCACGAGATCTTTTCCCCTGTGGTGTCCAATTGAGAGGGCTTGGTAAGGAAGTCTTGATTTATCCATTCTAAGGGCGTGGCCGGCATAGTTCCAGCGGCATTTTCGTATAAAAAGGCCACAGGATGTCTGATTAATCAACACAGAGCGGGCATGATCAGGCGTTTACTCTTGGTGAGGTATTGAGGAGAAGATCTGAGCACTTATGGAACTGTCTGGAGCTCTGTGATGATAGTTCTCACTAATCGCTGATGGGCCAGCGGGGGGTGGTAATTAAAGTAATTACTTAAATTACTGCTCAGTCAAGATTTGATTTGAACGCTTAACATGAAGCGTGTGGATCTGAACTCTAATAGTACTACACAAATTATATCTTTGTGAGTCTTAAGACAGTACATACCTGTTCTGTTACATATATTCAGTTGTATTAACAACAACAAAAAATTTTCAATTTATCTAAAAGTTATTGTGTGCTACTTTTGACTTTATTGAAATTTTCAGTGCAACACAGAGGTCATTCCCAGTATGAAATGAAATATTTAAAAGAAATATTTATAAAAAGAGAGAACCTTGGTCCAGAAAAAGAAAGACGGAGATCAGAATGGATGAACTGGTAATGTATTTTTGTTTAATTACTCAGTTGTTAAAGGGGGGGGGGGGGGCACATTTGCATTAATTGTATTAGACTTCATAAACATGCTTCAGAAAGTATGTTTTAAATGGGTAGAAAGCATTAAAAAATTCGCGCTTAACCTCCTTCACCTGGATTTACATACCTGGTAATGCAGGCATTAAAAAAACTGGCAAACAGTGCACAACGCATGTGGGAAGAAAGCATGGACAGAGCAGATATCATCAAAGCTGTATGGACTGGGCTAGTGAATAATGATGAACCTCTGATACTAAACATGATTTCATGACATGGCAGTAAAGAGTGTCTATGCCGGCTTCGAGGCCGAGATAGGAGATGTTATAACTAATCTCTCATGGGAACAGTTAGTAGAAGTACCTTGGAGTGTTTGCTGCATCGCAGACCTGAGCATGCGTAGGAATGTACAGTTGCATTGTTTGTGATAACTTACCATACAATTATTTGTATTTTTAATTTAAAAAAGTGCACTGCTAAATGTAGATTGAATTAATGTTTGAGCAAGATGTTATATTAAAATATCAAAATATTGCTTCTACAGTGCTCACCCCCAGCTCCCATAGCCTCTTTTTCAATAAACCACCTGCATCGTTAATTATATGAAAGATATGATGTTGTTGAATAATTGTTTTACAATTTTTTTTTAATTTAAATGTTGTGCCATCTTCACAATGGAGTATGGCTGTGTGATTGTGTACTTCCACTGTGCTGTCGTTGGGAATATTATGTAATGAGTCCCAGTCTCTTCCATGTTGCAGCTCTTGCATTATCATCTGAAAGCCATGGGAGCAGTATTTTTCTTAACTAAAAATTGCAGAAATGAAACCCTTGTACTCCCTGTGTGGGTTCCGGGGCCCCATTGTGGGGAAAATTATAGACCCACTGCCTCCCCAACGAGCTTGTTGTAGGAGTTGAATAATTGGAGCATCCTTAGAAGTTAGAGTCCATCTGCCCGAGAGGCAAGGATCCAACAGTCTGCATACAAGTTTGCCAGATCTGTAAAATGGATGTGCATGCACACACTCAATTTCTGGAACAAGACTAAAGTCTTGAGGTGTACAAACAACTTGAATTTCATGTCAGAGTTTACGGCTGGTGAAAAAGAAGAAGAAGAAACCTTGGTACAGAGAAGGTTGTGAAGTATGTTCACTGACCTCTCAGCCACAGACCCATACCTGTAAGTTATGATTCTAATAATTCTCACTTGTAATTTGTCTTCGTTCATTTGAAGAAAAAAAAAACTGTCTTTACTGTCTGTTTTCCTTTGAAGTCGGAGTTCATAACAGACAATGCACTATCATCTGAGAAAGTAACACCTTTAAATATTTTTTAAGGAATTATGACAGCGAAATCTACTGTTTTGGCAAGAGGCTTGGAGAAGACTTCAATGATGCAACGATTCGACAGGCATTTGTACACCCGTTAGTATTAACCTTTTAAACTGTTTCTCTTTTTTTTTTTTTTTGCAGCAAGACAAATTATGTAAAGTTACCTGTGTTGTATGCATGTGTGTAAAGGTGTGCACCAAATGAACATCTTGGAGAAAATATATAAGTGGTAAAGATAGCTTCTTGGTCCTGGCAGAGACTAAAAAAAAAAAATCTTAATTTTGAACGAACGAAAAGCCTTTTTAACGCCAGTGGCGTATTGGACATGTATTGCTAGATTATTTTTTTTTTTTTTTTGGTAGACCAGTGAGCATTCAGTGGCTGTCCTGCAGGCCGCCCTTATTTACTAGTACTTTCCCTGGTACCAGACCAGTCAGCACTCTGTGGGTGACCACTCAGTGGCTGTCCTGCTGGCCACCTTTACTTACTAAAACTTTCCCTAGTACCAGACCGGTCAGAACTCTGTGAGTGATCACTCAGTGGCTATTCTGCTGGCAGCCTGTACTTACTAGGACTTTCCCTGGTACCAGACCGGTCAGAATTCTGCGCGTGATCACTCAGTGACTGTCCTGCTGGCCGCCTGTACTTACTAGGACTTTCCCTGGTACCCATTTTAGGCTGGGTTGACCTAAGAGCCAAGGTCAACTTTGAAGAAGAAAAAATTCACCTCCATGCGCCATGTAGCCACTATGCTAACACAGTTCTTATTCATAAGGTGGTAGAGAGTATGTGTGTATATGCATATGTTTGTTTTTATGTTTGTTTTTGTTTAATAAGTAGTTGATAGCTGTAGGAAAAATGTATATCTACAATGTTTGTAATTTTTGTATACATTGATCATGTGCTGGTTTGTTTGCCTTGTTCATAATATGATGGGAAGTTAATGCTTCTCATGGAATGTTGAACAAGTTGTAGACAAGAGATCAGTCAATCAGCATGCCCTGCACAGAACATCACTCTCTTAATGGCACTCCTGAAAGTCTCTCTTTCTGTAGCAAATTTTTCAGCCCTGTGTGCTTTCATAGCAAATGCATCTTTGATGTCCTGTATCCACATTTATGGAGGTCGACCTCTGCATTGTTTTTCAAAAAGTATACCCTCCATCACCGTTCTCCTAAGACCACCATAGGGCTTGACCTGTCCAAAATACCTCAGCTTTCAGGAGAGGATGCTGTTTATAGGCCAGTTCTCCTTGATGTTTAGGTCATGCATGATGTCGGTTTTTTTTTTTTTTTTTTTTTTTTTTTTTGTGCACCCAGTATTTCTAAAATTGTTTCTTTAGCATTTTCATTTTCAGAAGCTGTGATTTTCTTCTTTGAAGACTAAGAGACCATGACTCAATTCATAAGTTGCCACGGACAGTATGCATGGTTTCAAAAAGTCTGCTTTAACTTGCTTGCAGGTGCTATGCCATAGGTTCTTCATGCTGTTTAACCTCTGCATTGCTAAAGCAAGGTAATAGATAGATGCCCCTTAATTTTATATTTAGGAGGTAGATACTTTTTTGTCAAAGCTACCGTGAAACAAAAAGGGAGCGAAAGAAACAACTAAGAATGTAAATATTGAATTGAGTTTAATGTATAGAAATGCCCCACCCCGTGATCCCTTAAGAAGGATGGATTCAATTTGTCAAAGTTATATTGAAAGGCATAATTTCACAGGATGAAGAAAATTATGTGCATTTTATCTTTGTCAGTTAAGAGGTGAAGAAATAAGAAGCTAAATCTTATATCTCCCTGGACATCCGAAGCGGTAAAAGAGGAAGGGAAGAATAAGAAGAGGTTCCAATGAAAAAGAGATTCCCAAGAACTATATTGAGCCAGTCATGATAAATAGAAATGAATAATGGACAGTGGAGTAGTTAGTGAAAACTACAGAGATGTGGCTTTATAGATGAATGATAACACCATTTAACAGGCTTGTTGATAAAATGTGACATTATAATCTTTATAAACATGCCATAAAAGAAAAATTATGTATAATTTTACTTTTTGTTTTAAACTTTAGCTCATTTGTTGATGCCGAAAAAAGAAAAAGAGCAGAACTGGGGATAGATGTGGAATCTGTTCCTTTACTGCTGCAAGACAACACTGAGCTGGCAAAAGCAGGTACTTAACACCAGTTATTATTGCCAACACCATTGTTTTTTATTTTTAGATATACTTTAAGTAGGCAGAAGCAATGTTGTGAGTAAGTAAAGGACCTTTCACTATGCTCTGGAGATGTGTTTGGTGTATCTTCTTATTTTTATTATTCTACCTTTGCCCTTTAAAGGGTGTTTGGCACGTTTTGCTGAAAAGGGGGGGGGGGGGACTAATTAGGGGTTTGTTGAAACTGAATGTTGGATCAGAAGGTTTTGCATATATTACAGCCTTACTGTAAACCACAATACAATATGCCAACCATCATTGTCAGGGCAAACATAGTAGAAGGAGAATTAAGGTTCCATGGTTGAGGAGATTGAATTATCTATCACAGCACAAGCTTGCATAAGTTATTTAGATTTGTAGATAGCAACTTATTTTGTGTTTGGGTGAGGGGGGGGGGAATTGTGTTACATCACTCTCACACTAGTAAAGAACTATTGTCCGTGCTGTTAGCCGTATTAAGCATGTATTGCTAGACTTATATTTTATAGACCAGTTGGCACTCTGTGGGTGATGTGGTCAATATCATGCCAGTCGCCTTTACTTCCCAGGACTTTACCTGGTGCTCATCTGAGGCTGGGTTGATCTAGAGCTATCACACGAAGTTTAGGTAATGATTATTTGGTGACTTTTTTCTTCTAATTATCACCAGGTTCTGCGTTGATGAGCAATTATGTGAAGGTATACCTGCGAAACACCTTTCCATACATGTTTGAGGAGTGCATAAGGTATATCAAATAAATTAATTTGTATGTGTGTGTGTATATATATATATATATATATATATATATATATATATATATATATATATATTTATATATATATATACTATATATATTACTATGTATATATATATATAGAGAGGAGAGAGAGAGAGAGAGAGAGAGAAATAATGTGTTAATTGTTGTTGAGTTTGCAGCATGTTTCAATCACATTTTATAATTACCTTTATAAAGATCACAGGCCTTATCAGACAGGTGTGTTTTTACTGTGTTAGAAAATATGTTTCTTTAAAGCAGAGAGAACGAGATAGGGCACACAAAGATAAGAACTTTGGTCGACATATAGTGTTTTGCGTAACAAAGTTACCGTATTTTATTCGAAAGGAAAAAAAGGAAACTATTTCAGAAACTTAGTATCAGGATAGGAGAAACAGTAAAGGATATATGGAAGGCAATCACCACACTGACAAACAAAAACACTTCACCACGTAGTGGTAACATCTATATATCCTTCATTCTGTTGATTTCATCGACTTACGTTCATGATGCAATAGAGCAGATAAAAGGCTACCAATACCGACCTATCCATGTTGTATTTATCCATGCCTGTCAACATTTTGTGATGTAATAATGCTCCAGAGATTTTCCCACTGCCATGCCTTTGAATGTCAGTTCCAATGCCGGTTTTTAATATCTCGCTAATCTCAAAAAACAGTAATGCATCAGGTCTAGATGTGTATGAGCAATAGATTTCCTCCGTTGTACTGCATCAGTTATCTGGGGGGGGGGGGGGGGGGGGGGGGGGGGGGGAGGGGGGGGGGGGCAACATCATTAACCTACATTTACAACCAGTGCATCGCCAAAGGTTTACTTTCCTCCATTCTTTAAAATTGCCAAAGGTCTATCCTCATTCTAAAAATCTAAATCATTAGACAGTATTATTCCCAGTAGCATATAGACCTATCATCTTTACTATCATCCCTTCAAACCACTTGGGGTACTAGGAAAAACACATTCCACAAAATAATACTCCAACATGTAGATTAAAACGAACCAAATTATTATTGACAACTCAGTCAGGGTTTTCGAACCACCCATAATATCTTGTCATACTGCCTTAATTAACAATGCTAACATCTTTTTTATTAAACAGAAAACACGTTGTTTCACATAATAAAATCTATATCACAGACTACTACTTTAAAAATTCTGGAGTTCCTCAGGGTTCTATTCTTGGCCCCCTTCTATTTGCAATTTACATAAATGATCTGCCCTTAAGTCTGTCATCGTCGTGCGATTTATTCGCAGATGACTGTACCATCCATTCAAACGCTCGAACTTGTAATATACTAGAGTTGTCTTTGCAACAAGAATGAAACAATGTAGTTAGTTGGAGTTACGCAAACCGCATGCAAATCAACATAAGTAAGACAAAATCTATGTTAATAACAACAAGACAAAAAAACTGTGCACTTTAAACTCTCATAGAACCCTTCAACTCTACCTAGGTAACACACCAGTAGAAAGTGTAACTGAGCACAAAACTTTAGGTCTGATCATCGATGGAAATCTTACCTTCAACTCCCATGTGCAAACATTTGTTAAGCAAACTGCTACAAAGGTATACCAACTAGCAAAAATTAAAAACTTTCTGGATGAAAACTCAAGGAAATTATTCTATACTTCTCATATTCAGACCCACATAGACTATTGCTCCACAATATGGGATGGATGTGCAAATTCGGTCATCAAACGGCTGAAAGCACTACACAGAAGGGCTGTTCGTTTACTAGCTAACAGTCATGAAAGTGACTGTTCGCACCTATATAAAGAACTCATGCTATTACCGCTCCAGGAACGCCTACTATTCAATAAAGCTAAACTTATTAAGAAAATCATATCTAAAAATGCTCTATGTTACCTTTGGCCATTATCTAAATACAATGGAAGACATAGCAAACGCCTTAACATATTGCATATCTCTAAACCTAGAATAGACCTATATAAAACAAGCTTAGCGTACTCTGCAGCTCAGCTGTGGAATAATCTTCCACCGGAAATAAAAAATATCAATAACCCCTTTAGATACAATCGGAAACTATTTGATTATTATCTCACTACAGACTATATGCCACCCTAAAAAGATTATAGTATGTTAAGGCTTTGATGTATTTCTTATTAACGGTTTTTTTTTTTGGGGGGGGGGGGGGAGGTCAGGGAACTTGGTGGGGGTTGAAAATTGAAGCTTATTATTGTTTAAAACTGAAGTTGTCAGTCGAATGCATTCCAATATTTGTAACTAATATTTAATTGGTTTTGATGATATTTATATTATGCAACCTGTAAGATTTACATCATTTTTTGAATAGGCTTATTATTATACTCTTTAAAACGTTCAAGTAATGTCAGTATAAATTAGAGCACATTCCAGCATTTGTAATTAAGACTTAGATGTTGTAATTTTTTCTTTTTTCTTCTTCTTTTTTTTTTTTTTTGTTTTTTTTTTTTTGTTCTTTTGTTTCTTTTCCATATTTCTCAAATTTTTAATTGTGCATTCCTCTTATTATTATTATAATTATTATTATTAATATTATTAACTATGAAATGAGGTAAAAATGAAACATTGTATGAAAGGAGTGGAGTGGAAGGGCAGAATGTTAGACGGGCCTGCGTGCCCAATTCTTAACCCTTTGAAAATAAAGTTTGTTCGTTCGTTCGTTCGTTCGTCCTTGTATTTTTTCGCACACTGAAAATATTCAGTTACATTTCTTGTAAATTATTATCTGTCCGCAGTCAGGTGGTCTTGTAATTGTATTTTAAAACTTTGCAGTCTTCATCATCTACCTGTTGTGTTTTAATTTGAGTTGTCTATTGAATAGTGTCTGTTTTCTTCTTTTCAGTGCTATCCATGATTATTTGATGAAAGATGAAACAACATCAAACATTGCTCAGCATATTGGCTGTAAAGATCTTATTTTATCTGAGGTGAGTAGGAAACACAGTGGTTAAAAAAAAAGGTTGGGGGGAAGGGGAGCAGCAAAAAGGAATATGTTAGGCAGTTTGGCATTATGACTGAGAATCATCTGTATCAGAAAATGGTTGTCAGTACATGTGACATTATAATAAACCGTTTGGTGACAATGTGATATACAACTTAGCATTAAGGTGGACGATCATCTACACCGGAAAATGACTGGCAGTATATAAGACATTATGATAGACAATTTGTGACAGACAGCTTAGCATTAAGACACAGAATCGTTGATGTCAGAAAATGATTTGACAGTACATGTGACAACTGTTCTGGGGAGAGGGATGATGACTGAAGCAGCCTGCCAGGAAGTACAGTGAAACCTTGTTAACATAAATTCCAAAGAAAAAAACAAAAGTTTGTGTTAAAAAATGTTGTGTTAACTGGTGACTAACAATAGTACATCCCTAGTGGGACCAAACTTGTGTTGGTGTTATCTGGGTGTTTGTCTTAGATAAGTTTCATGTAGAAGAAGAGTAGGGTGCAGTAGAAGTGCATATTTTGTTTTAAATTTGATTAACTCTTTCACTCTCAAGGGGTTTAGCATCAGAGTCCCAAAGGGTAGTAAAGAGAAACCTTATAATTGGCTCATCTTGCATGCACTGGACTTCTAGGTAGGAACCTTTGAATGCATGATGCTTTTCCTTTTGCAACTGAAGGCGTTAATCAGCCTTGTTGAAATGAGACTGATAGTGACCAACTAATTTCTGAATTCAAAACCCTATTGGGAATTTATCAGTGGACAGAAACAGTTTATTATTTGTTAATCATTTCCAATGAGAAAGAGACAATCTGCATTCTTTGGTCATGTGATGAGAAGCAGAAAACTGGAGTACTTCATGACAGTAGGAAAGTTGGAGGGGAAGAAAGGCACAGGGAGCCGAGAGAAAAGATGTTTGACATCATGCCACGGAGGATCATCAGAGTTGATTGAAAGTACACGAGACAGAAGGTTGTGGATAGACATGACTACCATCATGCCACGGAGGATCATCAGAGTTGATTGAAAGTACACGAGACAGAAGGTTGTGGATAGACATGACTGCCAATGTGACATGGCATGGACTTTAATAAGAAGATGATTAAATGTTCATGTAAACTCTATAATAATAACACACCCTACACAAGATACAGCGAAATATGCCATAGCACCAGCGACGATCCCCAGAGATTTCAGCAAAAATTGCACACATGAATTGAATAATGCAATCCATGAAACGAATCCACAAGGCGGATTATTTAACCATTTATCCATTGAGCCCTCTAAACTGTTATGAATAAAAAACCTTTTCTGCATTTCTACAGGACTTTCCAGTATCGCAGTCAACATTAAGTTTGACATTAAAGGCCGTAATTGGAGCATTGCTCAAAGATAAGGTAGTATTTTTGTTCATTCTTGTTATGTTTTAGAAGAAAGAATTAATTACACCAAAATTTTGAATAATGAAAGAGTGGAGTGAATGTTGTTGAAAGACAGAATGATTATAATATACTAAAGAAAGTATGAATGGAAAAAAATAATTACTGTATGAAAGCAAATGTAGACAAAATATCGTTAGGCAGAGGTTATTAAAAACATGGTAGAGGAGAAATGGGAGGGTAACATCAGAGTTGGACAGGAAAGCAACTACACTGAAATATTTCGGTAAGAGTTAAAGAATACAGGAAAGATGCATCATCATCATGGTCCCATAACACTGTGTATTGTTGGGTCATGAGTTGCTGTTTACTGTCTGATCAGCTCCCTCCACCTCTGCCAGTAAGATGTAGTTACACCTGACGCTACAGCCATCAGTGTTGGGTGCAGCCAGCTCTCCTTGCAGTGTGAATACTGAAAACTAGTAGCTGCTGCTGTCTGGTGATCACACAAGCAAACCCCACCTCCTTGTGGTGCAGACTGGTAGCTATGCAAGATGATACAGGTGAATGGTAAATGGTTACCTAGAGATAACTGGGCTCATCCACGGTTGAAATACAACACTATGTTGACTAAAAGGAAAGATATTTGTTCTCAGAATGTTTCTTTTACTTGTCTGTGGCCAAGTGCCATAGGCTGTTAGCAGTGTTTCTTATTCTTTTTAGCAGTCACCAGTTGTAAACCCCAGCGGAAAGTTCTGATTGTTTGTCTACTTTTTGGACTTTGGTCTTGTTCCAGAACTTGAGTTTTGCATGCATATCAGTTTTACAGATCTTGCTTATTTGTTGGTTTCTCGCCTCTTGAGCAGATGCACTACAACTTAAAAAGAAACACCACTAATTAGTCACCTTGTATGACAATCTTGTTAGGGGGGCATTGAGTCTATTTATTTTTACCGCATAAAGGCCCTGGAACTCACGCAGGGAGTTAATAGTGTTTAGTTTATTCTCTGCAAGGTATGATTTTTTTTTTAACTATCATTATGTTTGAATATACCATTTTTTTAGGGCGGTGTATGACAGAAAAAGTCTGGAGCTTCAGTACTTAAGTGGCATGGTGGATGCCGTCACCACAAACTGTGCAGATTAGGATGTTTGTTTTTACCCATGGTAGAAAAAACCTCCATTACCTTACTGATGATTTGAATCTCCATCTCCTGCAAAAGATATTAGCCGTTGGAGCAGCCATACTTCAATATTCCATGAAAAGATATCGGACCAAAACAAAAAGCATAGCCAGTTTCCTTCATGTTCTCACAAACACAACAACAAGTAGTAATCATTACAGTTAGAGAGCCTTTATCAACACATTACATGAATACACACCACAAACGAGAATACATAAACTCACTTAACTGAAGTTTCTCCAAGAGAAATTACATATCTACATCTTGTTCGAATGTCGGATCTTGTTCGGATGTCGGATATGCGCAGCAGGAGAATTCTGAACGATGGCGTCATGACCCAGATCGAGATTGTCTAGGAGGGATCATGGGCCAAAATGATTGTTGAAAAGGAACCCACCTACTGATGATCGGTAGACTCTCGCTGTGCCTGCTCCCACTGTAAAGTTCTTATTATTGTTAAATGGTTGTCAAATTGAAATTTTCAGTAACAGTGGAACATTATTCTTTCAGGGCCAGGAGCAAGCAGAAAGGTTTATACGGGATTTTGTCCTCACTCAGCTGGTGGGCAAGGACATTAATGAGATGTGGGAGCTAATCAACCCCATGGGACTTCTGATAGCATATCTGGTTTTAAGTGGTCGCGGCGAGCCTGAATCAAGGTCAGACTAGCATTAAATTAGATTTGACTTGTGTTTTCATAAGCTGTCTTTCGACTGTGTTTATCAACTGTCTGTACTATTTAGCTTTTTCGTCCATCTATATGTATGCGAGATTTCATAGGGAATTTCCTGGGACAGTCTTATAGTCTTGGGGGGAGGGTGGGGGGTAGTCTTAGTTGTTGTTTATTCAACATAAACCCTAAATCTAAATTCTAGATGTGTCATTTGTTAGTTCTTTTCAACGTTTTTATCATTATTGCATCGTCATTTCTAGTGTGTGTTACTTTCATTCGTTCCTCACAGTCACTCTGCCTTGTTTGAAAAGGCTGTTCTTACTTCGTGACTTAGCCTTCGCCTTGAATTTTCTGGACCTGTCAGTATTCCTGCATCTAACCCTTACCTTTGAACAGTCAGTGGTTCAGGAATAAGACAGTTGTTCATTTTTGTCTGGGAGAAAAGAAAGCTGCACACTTTCATCTGGGAGACCCAGTCAAACAAAGCCAATACACTTTTGGGCACGTTGTATGCACACGATGAAGGCAGGCATGTAATAACGCCCCTAGACTTTCGGGCTGTCCTGGGCTATTCCCTACAAAATCTTGCACCTGACGAGATAGAGTGAAGAGGCTAAATAGTCCTCACTGTCTTCTTATTTTCTTTATCATTTTTTTTTTTACTTTGCTCATTGACTATCCTATTTATTTTGTTTGTCAGCTACTGTCTTTTTGCTGAGTTCATCTACATCTGCTGTTTGTTTGCAGTGTGTTTATCCACTTTCCTTTTATTGTATTTATCATCTAATATCTGTTTATTAAAATATGTTTACTATGTTCATGTAGTCTTTTTTGCTGTCTTCATGAACTATATTTTTGCTAAGTTGGATGCAGATTTACCAGTTTTGTCTCTGTTATGTGTCACTTTACAGTGTGGTAAAGGCACACATGAGAAATCCTACTCTAAATAGAGTATAACTTTTCATTAAACTTCACTTTTTCTCTTTTAACCCTTTCGCTGCTACGTTCCCGGAAATAGTTGTCCTCCCTGTGCTAAGCAATGTGAAAAAAAAAGTCTCTGCTGTGCGCAATACTTTTCTATCCTCCAAACGCAAGAGATGCGTCGGCGGTGAGGGCTATATTCTGTACACCCAAAAAAATTTACCCTGGGGAGTTGTGTGTTTGGTCCGAGTGGTGACAAGTCAGAGGCACGATGGTGGCCCACAAACTTGACTAACGGAGCTATCATCCTTCTGGGGGTGGGGAATTAATTATAAGAACTGTTCCCTGTCCGTATCCCAAAATTTGATTGACGAACCTACCACGGCTGCCACTTTAATCATAGTTATTTGTAGTCACCATGTTATTAAATACCAAAATAATAAAAAAAAATTAATAATAATACTTGAGTCGTCCGTTGATAAAAAGTAGTTGGAAAAGAAAGGAAAATTTACAATAATTTAAAAAAAAAAATAAAAACACGACTTCGGGGGTTGAACACACGACCATCTGATTCTAAGGCGAACGTGATACCAACTACACTATACTACCGCTTGACGTATTTTGCTGTGTGAATGATAATAATGACTGATGTACGCAGACTATCAATAACGTGCCTAAGCTTGTAGTCTATCGCCGCCTGCATGAGCACTGTTGTCTGAGAAATGTTTGAGATTCTCAACAATAGTAAAAATATGTCTGTCGACATTATTTCACGGGAGTTTTTAGCAAACAGTCTTTGCTCAAGTACTCTATTTTGAGTTTCTTTGTTCTAAGCATTAGCAGACAGACAGCAAAAAAAAAGAAAAAAGTTTGTCCGAATCTGTGTCTGTCCATCGGGAAAGACGAGAATTTTTAGTGACTGAACTGTTTGAATTTTCAGTAGCAGAAATACAGTTAGAGCTGGAGTCATCAAAATTATGCACTACTGGTTTCAAATCAACGGTTCATAAAGACAACTGATCAATTTATTGCCGTTTTGATGGTGCTTCATTGTCGCTGCTCTCTGATTCCGACAATGAGGACGTCGGAACAGGCAAACAGCTTTTTTTGGACACGACGGTTTCAGCAGTCGATATTGATGGCCTAGTCAAATCTTTTTGTTCACTGTCAGAAGTAAACATTTCAAAGTCATCTTCGCTATCACTTCTTGACAGAAACTCCATAAATTCTTCATCAACTTTAACAAGTTTTCTTGCCATTTTGTACTAAGTGTAGAATAATACAAAAGCACAAATATATATCAGGGCACAAAATACACAGATCACCGACCACGCTGTCACGGTAAACAAAGCAACGGGATAACGCAGAATGCAGTAAACACACCTTAAACACACCTAAAAGTACGTGCCAGTGCTTTTAATCATATGTAAATGGGTCAGTTTAATCTAAATATAGCTAATGTATATTGCCCTTCAGCCAATAAAATACGAGGTAACAGAAATCTGCAATAAAAGTCCAAAAACGGCTTGGGACCTCCATAGCACTGGGCGTCAAGAAAAAAAATAACGTCCAAGGACGGGCGTAGCAGCGTACGGGAAATCGGGAAAAGACGTCCATAGCAGCGAAAGGGTTAAATTTGCCAACACTCTTTATTAAAACGCAATTTTCTCAAAACAAGGATTCAACAGTTAGGCGTAGTACCAGCAATATATAAACCGTACCAACTTAAAGGTCTAAGTACTCTGTAGTAATAATTTCTGTGTTCGTGTGTCATTCCTGTCTACCTCATGCTCACTGTTGTGTCTTTACTATTTTTTGGGGAACTTTTCAGGTTGTTGTGGAAATCTGGTGCAAACACAATTATGTCCTTGTTTTGGGTAGGAATCTACAGTGACAAACAGCTCATTGCAAAATGTAAGTAAACTGACATGTGTTGTTGATTAATTTCTTAAATAATTAATGATCATGTTTGTGTGTTTAATTGACTACCTCCCTCCTCCTTTAGCTCTTTTATCTTTTTATCCTAGTGGGAAAGTGTGTTGCCAAAGAAGCCTATTTTCTTACTAAAGTTGAAATATTCACGTTTTAAGTGCTAACACAACCAACCTGTGCAGGAAGTGATGATTCTTTAGGTAAGTCCAGAATCAGAGCATCCTGTGTCAGCTGTGCATTTGTGGAAGGCTTTTTTTGATTGTGAGGAATGCCCATGATCTGCTCTTGCCTTCCCTTGAGGTGCAGCCAGTCTGCACACTAATGCCCTTTGAGTTCTCCAGGGGCAGCGCACAAATAAGGCTACATTGTCCCACAAAACCAACTGGGAAGGCTAACCCAGAGAATAAATGCCCTCCAGAGGTCGGCTGAAATGCACAAATATTGCAGCAAGGCTGTAAACAGGCACAACACAACTCAGACAAACGATGAAGAAGAAGAAATACTAATAAATCTGCTCTCCTGACAGCTAGAAATATGACTGCATAAACATGCATGGATAAATGGATAGGTAGCAATTGGAAGTCATTTGTCACCTCCCTCATTTTGGATCAGCACAATGAAGCATGCCAGTTTTCTTTTCTTCTACTTCTTCCAATGGATAGGTAGCAATTGGAAGTCATTTGTCACCTCCCTCATTTTGGATCAGCACAATGAAGCATGCCAGTTTTCTTTTCTTCTACTTCTTCCAATAGATAGGTAGCAATTGGAAGTCATTTGTCACCTCCCTCATTTTGGATCAGCACAATGAAGCATGCCAGTTTTCTTTTCTTCTACTTCTTCCAATGGATAGGTAGCAATTGGAAGTCATTTGTCACCTCCCTCATTTTGGATCAGCACAATGAAGCATGCCAGTTTTCTTTTCTTCTACTTCTTCCAAAGATGTAAATTTGTTTTGGCCCGTTTACAGCATGGCTGCAGTATTTGCACCTTTCAGCCGACCCATCCAACTTCTGTAGGCATTTGTTTACGGGGTTAAGCTTCCCAGTGAATGCCAGTGTGAATATCATGAATATATAGACCAATTGCGGTACTCGCACTACCATTCTTCTCAGACCATATGATTTTTGTATGCCTCTGCACTGTTCACTCGCTCTCAAAGGGCCCTTAGAACATCTAGTGTAAAGACATTCTAGGTATATTGTTTTGACAACTAAGTTTTGACTTCTTCCTTTTTTGTCATTTTAATGAATTTATTATAGATAAGAGATTGGGGGCTTTTCATTCACAGTGGGCAGACTAATTGTTAACTGTACTTTTTATAAGCAGTGACAGGGTTGAAGTTTTAGATTCCTAATTTATGATTTCTTGGATTGGCTATATTTAGCATTTTTTATTTTCCTAATTTGTTCACATATTTTAATGGTTACTTTACCTCTGACATTTATAAGCAAACTAATGTGGAAAACAAGTGACTACAACTAACCTGAAATTGTTTCTTATTCGCATTTACCAGCTGTAAACTCTGGCAGAAAGTTCTGGATGTTCGTCCGCCTTCTGACTTTAATTTGTTTTGTTACAAAACCTGAGTGTTGGGTGCACATTTATTTCACAGAATTGGCTTATTTGTATGCAGTATTTTGGTTTCTTGTCTCTCAGGCAGATGTATTGAGATGAGCTGAAATAAAGAAATGAATGAACTAAATACAACCTGTCTTACGAACATGTAATCATCAAGCAGGCAATTAAAGGGAAATAAATGGAGTAATGAAATGAGGTCATCTTAAAGAAATCCTAAGACAGGCGTTGATGAGACAGGACTAAGGTGCTGGCAGAAAGTTCTGGATGTTCGTCCGCCTTCTGACTTTAGTTTGTTTTGTTACAAAACCTGAGTGTTGGGTGCACATTTATTTCACAGAATTGGCTTATTTGTATGCAGTATTTTGGTTTCTTGTCTCTCAGGCAGATGTACTGAGATGAGCTGAAATAAAGAAATGAATGAACTAAATACAACCTGTCTTACGAACATGTAATCATCAAGCAGGCAATTAAAGGGAAATAAATGGAGTAATGAAATGAGGTCATCTTAAAGAAATCCTAAGACAGGCATTGATGCGACAGGACTAAGGTGCTGGACTGGATTCTATTCAAGGCAACAATTGAACAGGGTAGAATGGAATAGAAGAATAAATATGAGCTTCATGTGATGTGCATAACGGTGCAACAGAATGATAAGTCTACCTTGTCCTTCCCCCTTGTGCTTCTCTAGTTTTAGTGTGTGTTCATCTAATTAATAACTTCTCCTTCACATTCACTGGCTGTAAACTCTGGCAGGAAATTCTGGTTATTCGTTGACTTCTGATTGACTGACTTTCTACCCCACCAGGACATCACACACCCGATGACACAAAGAGCCACCATGTGGATGAGGATCGCCGTGGAGAGGTCCCAGAAATCGCGTTCAGTCAATTGGCCATATTATGGCCTGCCTATATTGCGGCCCCTGGCAAAAGCCAGGGTGGGGCTTCAAATAACAAAAAAAAAATGTGTCCTAAAAAGGACGAAATAGGATTATATATATATAACACACAACCTAGATATTCGTTGACTTCTGGACTTTAGTCTTGTTCCAGAACTTCAGTTTTGCATGCACATTTGTTTGACAGATTCTGGCCTATGTGTATGCAGACTGTTGGTTCCTCATCTAATTGTGTTTGGTTTTTTATCAGTGGGACCAAAGAACCCACACAGAAGTAAGGGTTTGTGTAGGCAGCTCATTACAAAGTTGTAATTATTGTGATTTTCAACTCGTACTTTTGTATGTTTGTCTTGACTGTTTTCAGCACCAGGAGAGACTATTTTGATTGCAGAAGAAATGGCAGCAAGGGAGGCAATAAAGGCAATAATGAAAACTGAAGACAACAGACAGCCACTGATTCTTGGCCGACAGGCAGACAGTTTGAAAATCGACTACAATAGGAAAAATCTGAGTGCCGAAGATTTGATCAGGAAACACTATAGCTGGGCAATAGGAGATGTTAAAGTTGCTTAGGTCGCTTTTATTATACCTGCATTCTAGGACAAAAATATGATGGTTATATTTTCCAGGTTTTTGTAAAATATATGTTTTGTGAAAGTATATTTGTCCTTATCCATACAGCATTGGAGGCTACACCAGGCTAAAGTAACCACTATGATTACTTGAGCTTCTGAGTTAAGTGCTTGGTGCAGCCTTGTGAGCTGTATTTTTCCTGTGGAATGCCTTTCATCTGTGCAGCGGTTGTGTCGTGGTATTCAGTATGGTCGGTTTATGTGTGAGCTGGTAAAATACCTTATGTAATAATTCTATGTGTGTATAAAGCCAACTTATTGTGCCTGACTACTTCTTTTAACGACAACCTTCATTTCTAGTGGCGACTGTTGGCTTTGACACCCTTGGCAATTAGCATTTACTGCATGCACATATTTCTGGATTGTTCCAGGACTAATTTGTTCACCGGTTTTTCAATGAGGCAGGGAGGGATATTTTATTGATTTGCTCTGGCACAGGGTCGGAGCAAGTGTGGAAAAACCTGACTACAGTAGAGTTGAAACCTCGACTAAGACTAACTGACCATTTATAGGTGCCCCCAGTTATATATTGAGGTTAAACAGGGTGTCTGAAGTTTGCCTTGTTGGCTTGCCAGCCAAAGCAAAAATGTACTTATTGCAATCTCATAGTGATCAGACCTTCAGGTAGCAAGCCAGAAAGACAGACAGGTTATAATAGTGTTGCATGATTTATTGGTGAGAAACAGAAATAAACTCGGTAAGGAAATGTTTCAGACTTGTGTTTTTATTTTCTTCTGGGTCTTCTACATTTCTACTTAGTCTCGCACATTAAGCTCTCTAAATCTTCTTTTTTTTTTTTTTTTTTTGCATTAGCCCTTTAAAGAACAGTTAACACATGTGGTTTACAGCTAAGCTGCAATTTGTGCCTTTCAGTCTATTGCATCTGATTTCAACAAAACCTTCATTTGTCACCTTTAACAGCATGTTTGTTAAGGGGAAGTGGATCTGTTGTCCCTTTCCCCATCCATCTCACCCTGACCACCTCTTAAATGGAACCGGACACCAGTTTCTCTAGAAACGGGTAGCTTCAGGTGTATGACATTCCCAAACAGTTTTTAATGGGATTAAATTGGCTGATGCTAAACCAGGAGAATATCTTAGTTGCAGGTTTGGAGAGACTAGGTCAGCACAAAGCTGTACTGGTCTTAACTCTTTTATTACCAGATGGAGGTTTCATAGGAGATGTCAGTGATACAATTTCTTTAGTAAATTCTTTAAAGTGGTTATATAACAGAGGTAGTGGCCATTAGACTAACCAGATTTATTGAGTATTGTAACTAAATAAAAAAAAAAAAATAAGACAGCATATTCAGCTAAGGAGGAGATTCAGCAGATTCTTTGCCTAGGACTCAAAGAGTTAATCTTTTTGTTCTAAGAAGCCATTAAACCGACAATACTGGTCGGTCCAGTTTCCCTGTAACTGTCACTTTTCCTACCTGTTCATAGTGATCTGTTTATGAGACATATAGTTAATGCTATTGACTATTTTTTCACTTATTCAAACATTTATAAGGTCAAGATGTGAATACATTAACTAAAAATAACATTTAGTAGGATGGTTTTCCTTTGAGCTCAATAGCTTTTTTCAATGATAGATTCCTGCAAGCCTCAGTGATAGGATCATGGCATGAGACACATGTCTTTTTAAACCCAGGAAATTTATCCCATTTAATGCTTCACCCTGTCCATGGAAATTATTGAAAACCCTTACCTGACAAATGATGGGGGGGGGGGGGGGGAGGAGGGAAGAGAATTATATAAGAATGGGGGGTATCTGTTAGCTCTGGGTGCCACTCAAGACTCAGGGGAAAGGAAAGAGAGGTATTTTACCAAACGACAAGAGTACATCAGTACTCTTCGCTGGCTGTTGAGGAGGGGACAGGTTTTGCCCTGAATGCAGTGATGTCAAATCTTTACCCAAATGAACCCGAAATGATAATGGTGTTAATGGAATGTGTGTGATATTTTTTTTTACTGAAGACTTCTGTGGTAGAGTTGTTTAACAAACTGCCTCTGCATGTCGTGGGTTTGATTTTGGCCGGCGCTGTTTGGCTGAGAAATGCAATTTTTGTGAGGCCATGAGCTATCACTGGGGCTGCCAACTGATTTCTTCTGGAGACACAGAGTAAAAGAAATAACGAAAAGTAATCCATTTATACTTATCAGCACACAGAGGTGTAGAGGAAGGAAGTAACGATTTAGGTGCACACTAACTAAACACAAACATCGAAAGCTTCAGGCCTACTGAAATTCAAACCTCTCTTTTCCATAGTAGGACAGCACCTTGTGGAAGAGTGTCATTCAATTGATGCTCGCACTTTTCCATCTTTCCATGCGACAGTGTTATAGGGAGGTATAAGAGTCATAGCTTATTGTGATGGCGTGTGACTGTCAAGATCTGCTTGCATCAAGAAAGGTCTTCCACAGTTAGAGCACAGGATTTCAGAACGATTGTTGCTGTAAAAGTGAGAAAAGAAAAGGTCCCTTTTGCACGCCTCCATGAGTATTGGACATATAGAGCGAGACCTATATTTATAAACCAGTCAGCACTTGTTTGGGTCATGTCGTCAGCATCACGCTATTTACTTTTACTTCTAGGACTACACCTGGTATCCACTCAAGGCTGGAAGCCAAGGTCATTTGTGAAAATATCAGGACCAGAACCCACCACCTTCCGATCCGCTGGCGAGTGTCTAGCCACTACACCACCGCAGATTATTGTTACTACCGCAACATGTGCTTCATTTTTCAGCACTTAGTTTTTAACTTATCTGTACTCGTTTTCTCTTCTATTCCTTCCTGATTTACCCCCTCCATGCAACACTTTAGGAGCCACGATGGTGTAACGGCTAGATGTTAGGTAAGGCCAGCGGATGTGATGTTGATAAAATTAGCCACCGAGTGATCTATAAAAATACAGGGCTAATCCTAGATGCCCAGTCACCTAAAAGCATGAAGGGTCCTTTACTTACTTTTATAAAGTAAGTAAAAAAGATCCCTTGTCACGCCTTTAGGCGCATTGGGTATATGGGAAGAGAGCCCACATTTTTTCAGACCATCGGCATTAGGTGGGTAATGTGGTCAGCATTACGCTGGCCATCTTTACTTCCCCAGGACAGCCATCTTGGTACCCATTTTAGGCTGGGTCAACCTGCGACGCCCCATACCACGATAAAAATCCACACAGTCAGCCGTGGGTTTCGATCAGGGTACATTGGAATTATGAGTCGGACTCGCAACGCCTAAGCCGCGGACGCCGCTACTTAATTTTATGCAGCATTGTAAATATCCTTTAGTTCCCATCTAAAATTATAGTCGAGCCACTTCTGCAGTGTATTGCCATTCCAGAGTCACTTAGTGATAGATTCCATAAAAGTCTATCCCTTTTCTATAAAGACTACCTGTCTTGTAAGACAGGGGGTCCCAAGATGGGTTGGACCTCAGGTTCTGGTGCCTTTGATATCATTCATGTCTCACCTGCATACATCTTTATATCATAGCAGATACCGACCTCGACCTCTTTCATCCATTTTTAATTCACTATAGAGGATGTGTCGGCTCTGTGGCTAAGTCGTCAGGAACCCTTCGTAGTGCCGGGTTCGATTACAGCAGCGGGCTATGCGCCCTGCGTTGGTTTCGACGGTGGTATCAGGGGGCCGACCGTCCAGGGCACTGGCAAACTACTGGACGCACATTTGCTAAAAGAAACCACACAACAGACAGCGGCTTCTGGAGTTGGTTCTGCAACGTCCTGTAAAGAATACGCAACTGACCTTTTTTGGAGCGGCGTCCTTGGCTTAGGCGTTGCGAGTCCGACTCGTAACCCAGCGTACCGCGATCGAAACCCACTGCAGGCTGCGTGGATTTGTATCGTGGTATGGGGCGTCGCAGGTCGACCCAGCCTAAAATGGGTACCAGGTGCTGATGGTCTGTAAAAATATGGGCGCTCTTCCCATATGCCCGATACGCCTAAAGGCGTGAAAAGGGATCTTTACTTTACTTTACTTACTTATAGAGGATGTCCTTAGTGGCTCTTCAATCCTATAGGTGTGCCATAGCTTTCTGAGCCTTCGAAGACTGCGCATGAGAAAACCGTTGCGACACTTGCTCTTGTCAATACTTCGGCCTGCGTGATCTAGTCTTGCCATTTAATGCCAATAAATTTTTCTTATTCGCCGCTCGTGAAAACTGTTCACTACCTGTTGTTGTTCATCCATTACGAGGGATGAAGAACACTTTTGTCCAAAGTATAATTAAAAGAAAGTGACTTGGATTCAAGTGAGAAAGAGTCGCGCAATCTGTCGACCTCACTCTCTCGCCTGTTTCCATCGTGATTCAATGGCAGGATCAACTACCCAACAATGTATTTGCCTTGCTCTGTCAATGACCTCAACGGTGTCCCTCGGGAATGCATACGAACACGATATTTGCAACGATAGTGACTGTGTACACAGTTTTATTGTGTAATTTTATTTTTGAACAATGATTCGCATTCTGTTTCTTTTTTTAACATGCTATTTTAAAATGTCTTATCAAGATTTTCTTTATAACAAAATTGCAGACTCAGCTGTTTACTTTGTAAACTATTCAAACAATGCATCAAAGGTCAACGAAACCACTTGGCTATAATTTGCCAACTCGTTGAATAAGTAATTTGCTTCAGGCCAGCACAAATCGCAGAACTATTAATAAAATAGCAGTACTCCCCGTGTGAGTTCTAGGGCCCCTCTGGGGTTGTGGGGGGGGGAGGGGTAGTATACCCACAGCCCCTTAAAAAGGATAGAATAACAGTCGACTAATTAGAGGTGTTCGAAGTCGGAATGCATCTACCCGAGGGGCTACGAACCAACAGCCTGAAAAAAAAAATAATTCAGATCTGTGAAACGGATGTACAAACAGAAAACAACAAAACCAAATGGCAGTGGGGTGATCTCTCCCTTC